GTTGCACAATCACCAGCCAATCAACGTCAAGCTCGGGGGATGTTACGTCATCACCTCTCACTCAATCAGCATCGACTTAATCATCGGCATCACTTTATGGCTTCACAAATCTGTAGCACCACCGCCGCCCCCTAACAAGACAAAACACTTTTCACGTGAATAAAATACCCCAAGCGCCTGGAGGAACCAGTGATCGGAACTCACACAATGGACTGGCCGACGACATGTGCGCAAACAAAAACACCGTCTCGGATTTGCTGTTGTAATCTGCCTGGCTCGACTCGCGTTCCGAATTATCGCAAGTATCTCCGCGGCACGCAGTATTGAGAATGGCTGCGGTTCCGAGCACGGCTCGAATTTTCCGAAGTCGCTGCCACGGAGGGGTAGAGAAAATTATCCCATTCTGCATCTTCACACCAAGAGCGTGTGTGCGGTCAATCGTCACCAAGGTAAGACTGTCTGCATTAATTCGAGTGTACCACGCACTTCTGCAGACCACCCCATCAAAGTCCTATTTGTGGTGACTACGAAACAGCCTAGGTTCTGAAGATTGTAGCACAGTAATTAAACACGAGGAAGATAGGGGGACGGACAACGAAGACTTCCAACTAGCAACAACATTTATTGACCCGAAGTTTTGCATATATAGGTGAAGGAGGGGAGGGTGAAAGACGCTACACTGGAACAACACCTCATAGAAGTGAAGGCCGTAGCTCTCTTCTCGTGACGTCGCGAGGGAAGGCCATCGGGGGCGCGCGTCGAAGCGAAGGCAACGCGCGTGGATCGACCGTCGTAACGTGCTTTTAGTCACATACGCGTGTATTATTAGCTAAAATGAAAGCTGCACATAGCAAGGGGTCTCGAAAACATTTTATTACACCGCTAAATATTCGTTACGAAATGGCACGAAGTATGCGTATAAGACGTCTAGAGAAAAATGTGATTGTTTTAAGTCGAAAACATTGAATCACGCAATTATTGCTGTAGGAATGCATAGTTTACGCAGAAATAGTTCGACAAAATGGCGAGACACGCAGTGATTGGACACATCAAAACAGATCACAGTTAAAAATCAGGTAGACGTAGTCAACGCGGACACGGCTAGACAAATGTCACTTACGATCATGTAAGCGATGTTATCGCGTGCAGTCACTGAATTCTTGCATCATACCCCGGCCACATGGGAAAAGCAATGTAATTTCGATCGAATGGCATTATGGGGTCGACAAATCAGCTTGCGACGCTCGTATAATCACTCAAGACCGCAAGCTAATTAAGTCCCATATCATTTAATGATAATATATATATCAACTTTTCCGTGTGGCAGGGGTACTAAACTTACTAATTACATTCAACTAATTTACTTCTCCCTAGGGGCTCGAGCTGGCCTTAGAACAAAATATCTTATTTTGTATATAATAATACTATTACCTTAATACAGTTAAGATTCCAGTATAAAAGCGGTAAATGCATTAAAATAACATTAGTATAAATAAACACGTAAGCATAAACAACGCACTTTGTATAATCACACAAACTTGTTATCCACCTTCCAGTGAAAACTACAATATTACCACGCAAATTTACAAATGCCGACGCAACCGCACACGGATAACGACGAACAAGATGCCATTCTATCACGAAAAGCAAAAACAAAAACAAAAAATCCCGACTGCAGCACTTTACTCAAGTCTCACATGACCAAGAAAGCCCGTAAATAAGCTGTTTCTCACCTGTCGATCATATCCATACGTCCTACAATATCCGTGACGAGAACATCTGAGCACAAACTTCAAGTCTCTCTCTGTCGAAAGAGAGCGGTAATCGACCGTTGGCTAGTTGCCACACATGTCCCTCAAACCGTAGCAGGACTTGTTCCGCGAATCCACGTAAATGCCGTAGTATCAAGCGAACACGAAAAAACTACCCGAGACTGCGGTGACGACCAAGAAAAGACGGGAAGGATAAAAGAACCCCCCCCCCCTTTCCACCCCCAGCCACACACACACACGCACGCACGCACACACACACGAGAGCAGCGGCAGCAGTGTGGGAGGCTTAGCGTCCTCGACCCATCTCTTGCTCGCGTGCGCCCCCTGCGGCGATGACTGGATTTTTTTCGGTTCCCTCCCCTTCTGAAAGTCTCAGCGTTCATTTTTAGACAGTCAGCAGCTCACACGCAATGTAAATTTACCAGAATCGGAGCCCGTACGAGGGAAGAAAACGCCCCAGCGGACCGGTTCATTCGAAAAGTGTGGGGGGATTGCACGTAGTTTCGCGGTTACGGGGATAATCATAAATATAAAATCGGTACTTTCAACCGTAGCGCGTTGAATATTATGTTTATATTATATATATATAATAAATTGTACAATACTGCGCTTTTAAGACATATGCTAATGTCGGATAAACGCTGAGGAACACCCCCCGCCGCCCGACAAGCAATGTTTTTTTCACGCCGATGCCCAGAAATTTTTCTCACGTAGTTGCGCTATGGACTTCCTTCTCCGACATTGTGACGTAACGACTCGGAGCGCTGCGGCCTTCTGTTCTAGGAGGTGTTGACTGGAAAGGGGGGGAAAGCGATGGGAGAGGGTGTTCAGGCAAGAGATTGAAGGACGATCCCGTGAAGGTGACATCTAATCGCTTGGAGCCGCGGAAACGAGGGACGTCAGCTCTGGCCCCAGAAAGTTTATCTCCCTCCTGGACCCGAAGTTGTTTTGACTGTGGTGCATGGCGAAGGCCTCCGTGATCTCTCGTCCGTATCTTGAGGCGTGACCTCCAATCATGGTGGTCGAAGGAAGGTCGGCCGAACAGGGTTCGCTGCACTCAGAGGTGTGTTTGGCTATCGGATGGTAACTGATCTCCGAAGTGTCGAAGGCTGCTTTCTTGATCTCGTTTGCCTGTTTCCTCACCCGATCGTTCAGCCATCGGCCTGTCTGCCTTATGTATTTAGCACCGCAGGACATGGGAACCGAATACACGCACTCTTTGCAGCAGGTTACATAATTGGTCTAGCGCTTCTCCTGGCAAGGGGGTGCTGGACTGGGGTTGTTGACTTTTCTACAAATAGAAGCTAATTTGAACTTGCACGAAAATACTACGTTGGTGTTGAAGCCGAGCGCAATAGATTTCAGGCGATATGAGGTGTTGTGTATGTAGGGAATGCCTGGGCGAAGCGTGACTTAGGTTGGAGGGGTTTGGACTTGTGCCCCCACGACAAGTCTTTTGATTGTTGTTTCAATCTGGTCTCTCGGGTATCCTGCCTTTATAAGGCGACTAATATACTTGGATAGGCTTGGCAGAGGCCTTTGGCGAAGTTTCTGCAGAAACATCTTGGCACGTTAGAGCTCCCCCAACGTACCTTTCAGACTAAGAAATTCGGAAGATCTCCTTCCCGTGTTGGACGGGATGCACGCCGGCACTGAAGCTGTAAGAGCGTTCTCGCTCGATGTTGTAGATCTCTACTGTAGCCTAAACGTGAAGACCCTCCTGGGGTTCATTTCTGACGCCATCCACGAGACAGGTGTCATAGGCTTTCAAAATTCATGTGGCGTCTCGCTGTCCTCATTCCTCGAATTGACACAACTGTATATCTCCAATCAACGCTTGTTGAATATGAGGGTAAAGTGTACTTACAAGAAGCCGGCGTTTGTATCGGGTCTTGCTTGGCTCCCGCCCTCAGCGAAATTTACCTGTTTTATGTTGACGCCAAAGTTCAGTTGGACCTTCAACGAGAATTTCCCCGATGCGAAGGTTTTTCATTATGTTGACGATTATCTCATCCTACACTCCACCATCTACGACTCCACAGAGAGCGTGTTCCAGAAGAACTCCCATGGGCTCACGTTCACCAAAGAGACCCCCTCCCTTGAGGGCTTACAGTCCCTCGATCTCAGGTTGGTCCCGGCTAGCAAAGGTATCTGCTGGGCTCACCAGCAGAGGTCCTCTGAGCCCGTTCTTCCTTTTAACAGTTCACACTCGAGGAATGTAAAAAATGGGCAGGATACCCGAGAGACCTGATTGAAACAACAATCAAAAGACTTGTCGCGGGGCACAAGTCCAAACCCCTCCCTCCTAAGTCACGCTTCGCATGCACCCCTTACATACATAACACCTCACGTCGCCTGAAATCTATTGCGCTCGGCTTCAACACCAACGTAATATTTTCGTGCAAGTTCAAATTATAACTTCTATTTGTAGAAAAGTTAACAACCCCGGTCCAGCGACGCCTTGCCAGAAAAAGCACCAGACCAATTATGTAACCTGCTGCAAAGAGTGCGTATATTTGATTCCCATGTCCTGCAGTGCTAAATACATCGGACAGACAGGCCGATGCCGAAACGATCGGGTAAGGGAACATGCAAACGAGATCAAGAAAACAGCCTCCGACATTTCGGAGATTAGTTACCACCCGATTGCCAAACACACCTTTGAGCAGGCACGTAGCCCAGGCAGAGCAGCCACGTTATTCTAAAACTCCCTATTAATTGCAGTTACAATCTACTCACCCTTAAATGTAATGAACTGCCGCTGCTGATTCCTTTGCTCGTTACGTCACCAAGCTAATTTCACGTTACACTGCCCAGATACGTTTCAAGCAATGTTTGGGCACTGGAGCGATATTTTTTTTTTGTTAATATTTATTGTAACATTCTTTCTATTTCTCCCGTCGCACATCCAGCAAAGACGGCATTCAGCTAACAATCTACATTCTTTTTTAATAAAATTAAGTTTCAACTAAACAATATCACTCTGTATATAATATAATAAAACAAACAAAACACTGCTTCCGTATACCCGAAGAAGACCGTTTGGTCGAAAAGTCGTTCCCCTCCTATCCTCTGTCACATATCTTTCTCTTTATATGTCTACTATTAACAGTGCCCGGCCAGAACCCCCCATCTATCTTATAAAGACTGCAGCACAGGGTGGTAGGGGCGTCCTTGCTTTCCGACCGAGACGCACCTTAAGACAAGATGACTGGGTTAGAAAGGAATACTGGACGAATGGAAGCGGAAAGCGAACTCCGTTGGAACAACCTAAATGTAAAGTTGCGCCGTTCTCTGCATTTTTATACCTCGCCTGATTTGTGCGGTACTCAATAAAATAATAAGATCACCTGTAAGCGATTACTTTTGGATTCATTTTGTACTAATTTGAATTCATTGATCAGGAAGTAATCACATGAGTAATGCTATTACTTTTGGAAGCAGTATAATCAAACAGTTGGAAAAACACAAAGATAGGGACAATGTGACGTTGTCGTCTTGTTTCTGTTTTTCGGTCTCTTCAGCTATTGTTGCTTCCCTTTTCTTAACATGCTCTGGAGTAGAATTTATCGTGGTATAACCTTCACCAGCTCCCCTGCACGCTTACTATTTTTTCGTTGTATTTCTTAGTACGCAGGTAGGGGAGGGGAAGCTCGGGTCAGGGTCATTGTTGTTTT